TTCTATGATTCTATGATTCTATGAAATGTGCACAAGATCAAGAACCATGTTTCACCCGAGGTTCAGTAACTCCCAGCTGAGAAGTTATTTCTAAAGACATACCATCCATGAGCTACAGCCACCACAGATGATACACTTCAACTACCTTCAGCCTTCTAAAAGCCAGGCATCTACATGACACTAGGCATCCTCTTTACTCCTACCACCAGCAAAGAGGAAGAGCTACTATCAGAGACGATGGTGATTCACCTCGCCGTAAGTTGTGCAAAAGGCAACCTAAATGACTGGTGTGTATCAGAGGCTTACCCCTAACAGTAAGGGAGAGAAATCCCACCCTAAAGATATGTAACCACATAGCAGTTAATTTGAGTTACTTGAGTTTATTCACTGTTTTTGTCAAGTGAGTCTGACGTGCTGCTGAGTGTCACTCCAGTTGGTGAAACCTGTGTACTCACTGGATTATTGCACACTTGACTAATGCCGAAAGCTCTTAGGACACACCCTCAGCACACATGTATACAAATTCTTCCACACTGATGTGGGAGAATTTGTTAGTCCTTTCTTGGGATACAAATGGAAGCGGAAGATTTGCTGCTTAAGTTTTTTAATTTACATATTCAGCAGAGATGCTACTGAAGAGGTGAACTGCATTCCTAGAAGTGGTCCCTCCAGGTCAAGAGACATTAACATGGCACTTGGGGAAAACCAAATATTTCAGTTTACAAAACTATCAATGCAGTACTTTCTATGCATTACACCTGCTATGGGAGGAAGGCTAGAAAAAAGAAGAAAACACTTCAAAGAGAAAAAAAAGCCACTTGCTTTATAAACGAACATATATTAAAATAAATGGGCTATCTAGCATCCTGATTGTATCTACAGGACAGTACAGGCTCTCCTCATATGAGCACTTGTTTCACCACAGCAAGGATATTCTGAAGAAACCAGGATGAGAAAAGACTATTGTGAACAATATACTGTTAGAACACAACAGTTACTAAAAAATTAACTGGGATTTTTTCCCCATTAGACTGCCTCGCTACTTTCTGCCTTCAAGAACAGAAGGAGGCACAAAACCCACTCAAATCAATTCTTGATCGACAGGAGATTCTAGATCCCCATTCCCACAGGACCCTGCTTCACAATCTTAACCTCAATATCGAGTAAATCTATACATTAAGCTTCACACTGCTGTGCTACAAATTTAAGAAATCAACACTTCACTGAAAGAGCTTTGTGAGTTGCTATTGTTCTGAGACAATTAGCCTAGAGACATTTTGGCACCCTGAAATTAGCTACCTTTGTGGCACATTTTATTAAGTACTGGTATATTCAGTCAATACTACCAGCAAAAGAGGGAATTAATTCCTAGCGTTTGGATGATTTATGCCATTGTGGGGAAGCAAAGTGGCTGTAAAACCACCTTAAACAGCTATTTATATGTGGCTGATCATTGATTTGCAGTTCCAGATTATTCAGAGAAAACACAGCGCAGATAATCTGATTCCAGGTTTACAAGGGATGTCTACTACACTCAATAGAATAAACATACGTCTATAGCGTTGCTTTCCCTTTATGTTTCTCTCCAGATTTCTGTGTTCGTGTTGTTGAATCCAAATGACCTGTTCCAGATCACCTTTACAGCACAGGATGCAACATCGTGGTGAGAACAGCACAGGGTAAAAGAAAACAGAAAGAAGGATCACACGTTGTATCCATATATACTGGCTTCTTCAGGGGAGGACATGAACATAAAACCATGCCTCAGTTTTTTCAGTAAGTCTCACATCAGCAGAACTAAACAAAATGAATGCAATTCTAAATATACGTGTGAAAAATCCCCATCAGTAACCTTTCTAGTCTACAGAAAAGACATAGCTATAATTTCTTTGTAATATCTGCTAAGTATTTGTATGCTACAGTGATAACAGAATATGATAACAGAAAATGGCATACTATAGTCTGAAGAGAAAACAGAACCAGCAGGGGTAGGAACCTACAGTTGAAATTGGCTGGTATATGCCAGTGTGCTACAATGAAATAATAGAACAGTGTTTTGGAACTCGCCTTGGAGGGAACACTAGACATAGAAGATGTACACGGTGGCCAGGAGTTTTTGAAACTCCCACACTGATTCTAGATTTCCATGTCAGTCAGTGAATTGACTTTACTAGGATTTCCCATCCCAGCAAGCTCAGCCATTTTCATAACACGGATATACCAAAACAGAAAAACACTACGGGACTTTGAAAACAAAAACAACTGAAATGCATTAAATATGTAAATTATTGTTCCCTAAGATTCACATCTTAGCCAAGATTCACATCTTAGCCACAATTTGGTTATTCTATAAAATATTTTAAGATAAACACTGATTTTCAAATGTAATTAAACTGTGTATATACTTGCTCATTTGTTGTCCTCTGCAAGATAGATCCTGTTAAGGCTTTTACTTCTTCCACCTGAACTGTAGCAAGTTGAGGCTCAATCACGTTTGTTATCTGCGTACAGTCATCATCTAACTGTGGAATACTCGGTTCTGAATTCAACTGCTCTCCCCCAGTGCTAAGCTGTCTCTCACTCGGTACTACAGGACTGACAGGTTGTACCACAGATCCTGACAAGGAATCCAGAGCTGTCACAAGCTGTACTGGCAGGGCATCGCTGCTCTCATCTGCTGAGGGATCAATGGAACAGGCATGACTCTGACACTCTAACTGGTCAGACAATGAGTTTATCATTTTAAGACTCTCAGTATCACTGAGGGATCTCAACAAATCACTGGTTTCAAATTCACCAGTCTCTACATTCTGTTCAGTGAATGCTTCCAAGCATATCTTCTCTGAGGATGTCCGTGAAAGATCTGTATCATTGTTAGGGGAATGTTCTTTTACTTCGTTATCTGTGTCAATAACGGTCATGCAGGTTCTCTGGCAGTCTTCTAAACCATGTGGAAATATATCCTGTGGTGTCTGCTCCTTTGGAACCGCTATTCCATCCTCCAGAAGGGTATCTAGACAGAGGCTTATTTCTGGAGTCAGATCTTCGTTACTTAACTTCTGTGAAATCTAAACATTAAAAAAAATGTTTACAAGAAGGAATGGAACAACTAATTCTAAAAAGCATTTAATTAGTATTGCACTTTAGAAGTCATCCATATATAAACATACATTTTATTTGCATTTTTTGCATAAACTACAACAATCATATCCTTCCCTAAGAACTCATACAATTTCTTAACAAGGGTTAGACTGAGGTCTCAGTTTCACAACTAGAGCACTTCAGCTGCTGAATTCCCTTGCAGCGAAAATCCAGAGTAAGAGAGACTAAATCTGTTACAATGTCAAACATATTATGCCATTGCCAATGACCTGAGGGTGTTAAAGGGCTTTAAAAGGAAGGCATTAAAAATTTCTGTCACCCAGAAACAACGAAACTGAATACATTCACAATAACGCAAAAAGCATAGTTCGTGAAACACAACATGCAAGTCTTGATTATGTGGTTACGTGGATCCCACACAGGTATGGAGCATTTGAGCCTCACAAGCTTCAGTTCAAAACCTTAGGAGTATGTTTGGAGGCTGCAAGTTTGACTTTACACACTGGATACAGAACCACAAAATCATAATGGTTCTTGGAAAAGCAATACTGCTACTGTTTTTCTATTCACTTTGAGCCACTTTCAACAGACGCACCCACTTTCATACCAACTAATAACTTTCTAATTTTTTTTCCTATCTTGGTTTCAAATGCTTCTGCAGGAGAAAATGAGATGCTTCAGCAGACCTAAAACATTTTTTTTTCTGTGTAACATTTGTATATAATAGTGGTGTTGCTTGGTAATACTGAGTCTTAAAACAACCTCTTTCAATGTATTTTTAGACTCTTGCTGCCAGCAAGTGGCAATACTGGGCAGTGCAAGAATCCTTTAAACACTGCTAACATAATTTTGATAAAGCTCACACAGAATAAAACAGAAAGAGCAGAAATCTGACAGCACTGACTCACGTACATTTTGTAAGCCATTATTGTTGTGTTGTGTAAGCCATTCTTTGTTGAAAAATTATTCCTCTGTGCATTGCTTCCTATCTTATACTAGAGCAGCTAATTGTTCCTTTTTAAGTACTGACTAGTTTTACTTTGCTGTATTCAATTACAGTTTCCTTTTAGACCACTTCTCTGATTTGCGCAGACTTTAAACAATTAGGGAAAAAGCCTAGTGGCATCACCTTCTATACTCGAAGAACTGTGGTAGAAACAGTGTGCATGTATATCACAAATTTACTAAGAAAAAGGCTTGGTGCATTTGCTGAAGTGCAGATGAAACTTCTTTATATTTACGGGGAAGGATCAGGCAGGCATAAATGACTAATTTTGCAATACCCTAAAAACCCACATGCCAACTGAAATCCAACAGCTGCATGTGACTGGTGTTCACAACCCCTCCCCCAGCCAATACCTAAATTTCTTTAGCACTCGTTTCTTGTGGGACTTACTCTACAAGTAATTAAAATCTGCAGAACAAAATAAAAGTCGAAATCTTCCCTTCCCAAAACCCATCCCCTGCTGCCACTCATCCATAAAGGCACTCAAAGCCCCACTGCCTTAGGTCCCTGCACCTTCAATCGTCTGCTGAAAACGAACAAAGGAGCTGCTGAATGAGCAGGGTTGAGCCAGCTGGGAACCGGACCGAAACAGGGAGTTCTCTCTCCTGTGGACCCTGGGCTGGTAAACATGGTCTGAATACATGTAAGTTTCCCTCAAAGGAGGAGCAGGATTCCTGCTCAGTCAGTAGCTCAGCAGTAAAGTATCAACATTGTGGTAAACGCAGGTTTAGGTCCATCCTCCACCAGAAAAGCTATGCTTCAAGCAACTCATTTCAAAAAGGGGTTCCTATGGAAGAATGCCAAAGAGAAAAAGGTATCTCTTTGGCATAAGGCTGTTAGTTCTTTTTAGGGTCTGAATGCCAACGATCTCATGGCATCTGTGCATCTCTTCCACTGAGCATGAGCACACTACTTCAGAAGTCTTGATTTAAATCTCAGTACCCTCACGTCTCAATTACTCCCAGTACAAACACAAATCAAGGCACAAAACCCGCTGACCATCTAGCATCAGCCCAGAATCTCCTCTCCTCATCTTAACCATTAAGCACAGACGGGGAAACAGCTAAGCATGGCCACAGTCAACTCCAGTCTTGGCTGATTCAGGACCTTGCACCAGCAGAAGGGCAGGGAAGTCAAGCAGAGGTCTCATCTAAAAAAAAAACTTCCTTGACCGTGGATATAAAAACTGTGTGTTAATAAACTCACTGCACCAAAGGCCAGTGAGCAAGACAGGCTTAGACAAGCCTTTGATGCCTACCTCTCCCCATGCAAGCTTAAATCTGGCTGGTCAGTTCATTCCAGCAGATAGCAGAGCCTTCACATCACCTCAGTGAACCACTGCGTGCAAGAATTTTTTCTCCATGTGTTTCAGAACAATTCAGAAGTTATCAAGAAATTGGTAGCTACTTGGTGTCACAGACTGTGGCTTGAAAATGTTACAAGACAAAACCAGACGGAATAATACCAAAGTATTCATAATAACAGTGGAATGGAAATGTTTAATGGACTCCTGTATCTGCCAGCTCTGAGTCAAACAACAGCAGAGAGGTTCAGCCTTTCAACACACACATGTATATCACTGTAAAAGAGTGAAGGCTTCAGAAGGCTCAGCATTACCAGCTACGGTGAGAACTCTGAACTGAAGATTACTGCAATATACTGGGACATGAGGGATGCACAGAGCGTAACAGAACAGTTGTGGTTGGTAGGGAGCTCTTGAGATCACGTAGTCCAACCTCACTACTCAAGCAGCGTCAGCTGCAGTAGGTTGCCCAGGACCATGTCCAGTCAGGTTCTGAGTACCTCCACAGGCAGAGAATTCACTGCCTCTCTGGGGAATTGTTCCAGTGTCTGACCACCCTCGCAGTTAAAATGTAGTTTTATGTGCTGAGATGGGATTTAATTTTGTGTCCATTGCCTCTTGTCCTATCAGTGGGCACTACTGAGAAGTCTGGATCCCTCATCTTAATTCCCTCCTGCCAAGTGTTCATACCAACTGGCAAGACCCCCTCAAGCCTTCTCTTCTCTAGGTTAAACGGTCTCAGCTCTCTCAGCCTGTCCCCCTATGAAAGATGCATCAGTCCTTTAATCATCTTCGTGGCCCTGTGCTGAACTTGCTCCAATGTGTGCATACCTTTCTGGTACTGAGGACCCAGAACTGGACACAGTATTCTCAAGGTAGCCTTGCCAGTTCTAAGCACAGGATCACCTCCCTTGACTTGCTGGCAACCCTACTCCTAATCCAGTCCATGACATGGTTCACCTCCTTTGCCCCAAGGATGTATTGCTGGCTCACGGCCAGCTTATTGTCCATCAGGATCACAGAATCACAGAATGGTAGGGGTTGGAAGGGACCTCTGTGGGTCATCTAGTCCAACCCCCCT